TCTAGAGCCCCCCAGCTTCTGGCCTGAGCCACTGCAGGCATGTGGCTGCATTTCCAGAACCAAAGGCGAATGTCTGTTCACTTGCTTAGCAGTTCAATCTGCACAGTTTAGACTAAACTGTGAAGATTGAGTTTATTCAGCCGTGGGCTTTTTGACTGTCTGTACTTAGCCTTATAGAAATAAGAACACAGAATATTGGATTTTTTTTTCCTTTAGATTTTATTAAAATACAAGAAAAAAGTTCTAAAAAGCACATGTTCCACAGAGCACCAATATTATAGAACATTTTTGCTGGCTCTCCTGCAAAGCATATTACTGACATATAACAGTGATGCACACATCTACACACATTCATGCATCTACACCATGTTTAGACAGAACTAATGTCAACAGACCTCAAGCAGACTCCTCCTTAAACACAGGGGCAGAAGGATGTAGAGAGACATGGCAGTGTGATGGCATCTGAACGCAAACGGAGTGAGTTACTCTTTTGTTGGCGGTCTTCATGAGCACACTGGCATCTTTGCTTCACCCTTACTCCCCCCCACCTTCTTTACAGGCCAGAAGGTTGGCCTGTAGTTTGCTGAATATGGATCCTGTATTGACATGGTGCAGAGTTGAACAAAACTGGCCAATATTTCCCACCTAATACCTCTTTTATTGCTTTGGTTATAGTACTGAATTCATGTCATAAATATTTTAATCTTACGGCCAACAACACAGAAAAGTATTTCTCTGTCATTCACACACATGCACAGCACCCATATATTTCTAGAAACTTGGTGGATTTCCCCCTTTAGATCACCTTCAGGAGCACGATTGCTTTTAGCTTTTCAAAGTGCTTAACCCAGTTGTTCAGTCACATACATTTTGTCAATCATATTTCCTTTCTACATGTGCAGAGCCAGTTTTCCTACTTTTTTAACTTTATGCCATCACCTACACAAGTGCAAAGCAGAAAAAACTCTTATCCTGCTCATCTGCTGTTGCTTACACTCATTTTGCACAGGACTAAATAATGACACAAGGCATAAGCTTGTGGAGAACCTGGCTTTTTTGTTGATTTTTCAGGTATACGTTTACTGGATATTTAAAAAACACCTGAAATTGCTTATGTTAATGCTGAGATGCAGAACTGCATTCCCTAGTCACTGTAATTACTTTCTAGATTATTTTTGGTCACTAGCCTTTGTTGGCTCCGTACAATTTTAGAAAGTAAGGTTTGCCATACTGGAATAACTCAATAGTTAATCTGGTTCAGTATCCTAAAACAGTAACCAAGCCCAAATGCAAAAGCAAAGACAAACCCAAACTCCAGTATACCTGGCTAATCATATACTGTGATGCCATGTTTTTAGTAGTGTTCCTTCCTGTATGCAGCTGGTAATCAGCTTATACTTTGAACCCTGAGGATCAATAGCTTCTTGTTCTTTTTTTTTAATTTTGCTAACTTGACTAATCTTACCCATACATGTCTATTTCTATTATTAAAAATGATCATTAAAAGTAAAAAAAAAATCATTAATTTCTAAAAATTGTGTCATTTTATATCACAAAAAGTAGAGACTGCATTTCTATCAAACAGTCACAAAAGAGAGAACATGTCTTCCTCTAAGCTCACTGTTCTATGAAATACTTCCATCTGTTTGTTTGTTTTTTTCTAGCTACATAGTTTCTGGAGAGGTAAAAGGACCTTACAAAATGTATTCCTGTTATGATAACCACAGAGGTTGATGCATCTTAAAGTTTTTGACAGTCAGGAATTCTTGTCGCCAACAAAGAGAGCTCTTATCTTTGTGGACTTTCTGTATACAGGAGCTAGTGTTATAATCCCCTTGCTGTGCAATGAACAGACATCTATGAATAATGAGATACTGCACATAGGAGACAAAATAATAGAAATCCATAAAGGAGAAAAAATAGCCATGCAGAATATCTGTAACTTCAGATATGCAAAGAGGTATTAGATTTACTAATTCAGAATTCCTCTTCTGTGTTTAAGGTATGTTTCAACAGTCATATTAAACACATTTCCAAGACAAACAATTGAGACTATCAAAGGAAGAAAGAACAAAAGAACAAGAGAAAGAAAGAAACTGACAGGTTTGTTTCAGAAGGCATTTGGAGTTATGCCCACAGTAGTTATAGAATGATAATACTTTGAGTGTCAGTAGAATGGAATAGAAAATAATATAGAAGATAGTTTGATGTCATTATATATATCAAATGTATGTCTTGGCCTGGACTACTGTTTTCAGTTCTGAAAAAAAAAAAGAACAAACAAACAAAACAGAAGTCATCCAGAAATAATTGGGCGGCAGAGAGGGAAGTTATTAGAAACATAAATCTGTATTTAAAATATGAAAAAAAGTTTAAGATTATGTAGTTTCAGAAGTGAACAAAGGTGAGGAATTGTGTCAAAGCCATATATAAAAAATGAAAAGCACAGAGCAGATAAATTAAGGGCTTCTATTAACTCTGTCTTATATTACAAGAGCATATTCAATGTAATTGAAAGGCAGCAGATATGACCCTGAAAATAGTAATTTTTTTTAAACACATGATATATTTTGAGTATGGAACTCACTGCTACAAGACAGATTTGAGCCCTTAACCTCTCTAGATTCCAAGGAGAGTCAGCCATTTATATGGAGAATGAGAGTATTTGCGGCTGGATTAGGCAGAGTAAAATCATAGAGGCATAAGCCAATCAATAACTGGCTATTGGTTAAGGATCAGTGGGTACATCTACATAAGGCGCTACTGCACAGTAACCAGAGTTACTGTGCAGTAGTGTTGGAGAACATCTTTTAGGTGATGCTACTGCACAATAACCTAATAGTACTATGCAGTAGTGTATTACTACTGTCCGTGCTGTGATGCTCTACTGTGCAGTATTTTCCGGCTGCTGCACAAACAGTGTCTCAGGTAGAAATGCCCAGTTACACCAAAATGGTCCTGTTTAGGATACTTGCACCTTCCCTAATTTTCTGGATGCTGTCAAAGAGTTGATACTGGATTAGATGAACCACTGATTTGATCTAGTATGGCAATTCTTATGTTTCTGTGTTAAAAGATTTAATCTATTAAGTATCCCACAGGGTCATAAAAATATACAACAATCTACAATACTCAGTCATGGATAATGATAACTTTAATGAATGGAATGACTTGATGGATCTTCCTGAAAAGACCTTAAGAGTTCATTTGCATACATGTAATCACACTTTCTGAAAAGTGGAATTCACATAGCATAAAATAAGGCTGGGAACAGATTAATATTCGTCCTACATTTTCCATTGCTCAGTTTCTTTCCCTTTGCCTAACTACCTACCTTCAGCCCATCCTAAGGAAAATAACAGCATATGTTACTGTCCCTTTTTTTCCTCCATACCAAAAACTACTTAGAAAAATTTGGAAAACCTGGAATATAGATAGAAGTGTCAGGCTTTGGACTCTATCACATTAACTTGACTTTCTGATGTCCAGTCCCCACCAGCTTCTCTGACATTCTTTCTCAAATGGTGTGTGTGTGTGTGTGTGTGTGGTGTGTGTGTGTAGGGGGGGGGGGGTCAAAGAAGGAACAACTCATTTGTATGAAAATCAAACTCATGTGTTGCTGTTAAGATTTCATATCTGTCTTTAACAGCACCACAATTCTAAAAATGCTTGTGCGCTAGATAAATTGGGCAACAGCAAAACAGAAGAAAAGACACCAAGAGTGCTTAAAATGACATTGTCAAAGCTAATATTTTAAGTCCTCCTCTGCATTGGTTTAATATCTCAGACAGATTGGAAGGTTTTTTAATTTAAAATACATTTCTTTCTTAATTTATTTTTCCATATTTGTACTGTTTTCTTGGTTAACAGTTGTCTCAGCTTGGACACTGAAACTAGATTGATCAGTTCCACCCTTGTAGCTATCCAATTTCATTTTCCAATTCTAATACCCTAGTCCAGGTGAATGTCCATTGATAGACTTTGTTAAATTGTTTTATTTTTAACAAAAACTGAACTGAAGTTGACAGCAAATCTTTGAACATACCTCTAAATAATTTCTTTACCCATTCTGGAGAGAACCCAGCCATTTGTTACAATTGTTCATGGTAATTCACTCAATTCATCCTTAACTTCATAAAAAAGGGAGATGGCTGTAAAGTTAAGGACACAATAGTATGTTCTCAGAAAGCTTCTGAGTAGGTTAATGAAACGTGAACAAAACATCATCCTACCTGACAGCAGAACTGCAATTCATCAATCCCAAGGTTAAAAACTGATTAACTTTCACATTAACTTACATGGCTGTAAACTAATTGCAGGCATCTCAGACAGCAAAATTCAACATGAGCACATGTAACAGGGTAACTGACTGGACACGTTTCTGTTCCAATGAGGTAAAGTGGTGTATAAGTTCCCCCCCATTCAAAAATACACTTGCTATGTCATTGTCACAAAAAAATAGAAGAAGGAATAAATTACTTTTACAAAACTAGGCACAAAATAATCCCTATTTCTACTGTTTCTCTTTTAAAAAAAACAGAAAAATGATAAAAGAAAGAAAGAGAGAGAGAAAGAGAGAGAGAGAAAGAGAAAGAAAGAACAAGAAAAGAAAAGACACTGATAAATACATATTTTTAGTTCTATAAAGAGAAGATTGGCATCAGCTGAGCTCTTCTCTCTTGCCATTGGCATGAACCGCGTATATACATCAGAGGGTGCTGGTGACAAATGGTCCCACTTTTAAAAGTTCCAAAGTGGAAAATTGTAGATTTCTCTTTCAATCTTTGTCTTTTCCTGCCTCATTTTTCATATATATATTTTCCCTTCACATCACCTGCTTCTTCCCCACACTACTTCCTCTCTAATACAGGGATACCAAAGTAGTACTCATTAAGCTAAGACTTAATGTAGGACTCTATATATAGTGTGTCTGTGCATGCATACATGAACATATATATTAATGTAAATATGAATGTGTGTGTTCATGTATGCATGCATGCATGTTATATATATCTATATATAGATATCTATCTCTCTATATCTATATATTGATATATAGATAGATAGACAGATAGAAAGATCTATATATATACACATATATATATATATTGCACACACAGAGCAAGCTTGCACTGCATTATATTGTGTATGCTGTATTATCTGAAGGGTCATGCTTCTGTATCAAGAGGAGAGTAGCTATAATCTATTCCATTTTATGCAAATTAATGGCAAGACTTTGGCTCCTTGCAATTGCTAACATGGCCATCAGTGGAACAAAGAGATGTCCCTGTTCAAATTCATTACATTGCCTCTTTATACAACAGTCTTCCAAACAGAAATGTTTCTGGCTCATTCTAACACCAACGCTTCAATATATGCATAGGTTCCTCCTGGGAGAAATATCTCATCTCACCATCTTCCCTGCTTAGGAGTGGCACTTTTCACAGTTGCTCTTTCTGTCCCATTGGGAAGGCAGGAGTGGGGTTGTTTCACACAACTATCATTTTTGTGTTATTTTTCTTTTCTGGTATGCATTCATTTGACCTTGTTATTTCTTGTAATAGGCCAAAAAAGGACCTTTCAAAACAGTTTATGTTTTTTTTCCCTTTTATATCACATTAAAGGGACACTACTCTTGAAACATTTTCCTCAGCATATGCTGGATTTCATCTCTTGCTGCAGTTTTGTTCAAGCCAAAGCTGAACTTCCTGGAGGCTGTAGAAAAAGGGGCCCTTGCCCCCCAGGTAAGCAATTTTCTGTCGCTGCACGATACACACGCGCTCAAAGGAGACCCCATAGGCTACATTGGCATTATTATCCATGCAGTCAGCCACTACTTGGCACTGGGGGGGCAAGGAAAACCTCTGCAGGAGCTGGTGAGCAGCTGCACATCGGTCTTCCTGGTTCTTGTGCTTCTTCACCTCAAATGAAGAGGGCGAGATTCCAGGAGCAGCCCAACCATCTGATGGGTGAGCCTCGTCAATGTAGACCAACAGGAAGTCAGCCACACCTGAAAACTCCTCCACCAGCTTGCTGAAGGCTGACAGCTGGCTCGTGAATGGAGGTCAGGTAGCTGAACCAAAGTTGACCACCAGGGGACGCTCAGAGTTGGCAAAATCCAAGAGATGGCACTTGCTCCCCAACTTTCCACCAACATTCTTGCATCTGGTACTGCCACCACTGATGCCATTGGTTATGTGAATCACTCTGGAGTTTGGGGCTTCTCCACCCAATTTCACCTGATGGCAAAACAAAGACAATAAAGTTACTGTGACTCGCTGCCATGGTGTCCTGTGTATTCACTCTCACTAAGCAAACACAATCAGCTATTCAAATAAAGCAGCATGTTCTCTACATGGAAAATTCAACATGATCCTAGTTTTAGGAAATGAGCTTTCCAAGGCAAGTCTCGTCTTCAACTCCTATAAGACAATCAAGGGAAAACAGCAGAAGAAGAGTTTATCTAGTGACTGAATGTTAGGCATCTTCAGCTTTACTCCGGGAACTGCCTAAGACTCAATACACAATTGTGGAAAAGTCACCTGCCAGTCCCTCGGTTTTCCTACTCATGTGATAGAGAGAAACCTGTAGAACTCAAAGAAGTAATGTCAGGATTAAGCTGAAATCTACACAATGCTCTGAGATACCCCAGTTTATTGATGTTATAGAATCAAAAAGTATAACAAATTGTTTTTAATGAGTCCTGTCACACCAGCTCCTATGTATCTTCCCTGAGCATCAAACTATATTTCAACAGTGTATTTGTCTTACTTCTCTGCCTCTACATCTCTCTTCTTATCTCCTATTTCATGACATTCAGAAATAAATGCTGTTTTGAATGAATTCACATGAGGCCAAATACTGAAGCCCTTATCCAGATTTTATTCATCCCTTACTGAGGCTGCACTCTTAATTTAAATTCCTGTTGATTTCAATGAGTCAGAAGCCAGTAAAAACTGAGTAAAGTTTAAAACTGAGTTTGGGCACAGAGCTCATCCCAGATTACATTACGAAGCATTGGCTCCAGACAACCCCAATACAACACATAAACTGGGGACTGGATGTTCAGCTAGTGGAAAATAAATCACTTCCACTACTGCTGAGATCCAGAAGTAAGTGTTGTAGATAGAAGGACTTTCATCGCTACACCCAACACCTGATGGCCCCTGATGAGCATATGATCATTCATGGTTCAATCCCACTCCTTCAAAAGAGAGACCCACACTGAATCTGATCTTCTTCTCTCCCATGACTCTCTTATAGCCAATAGAAATTTCATAGGAAAATGTGCTGGTTTATTTAAGGCTACAGGAGCATATACCTACATAAAGCAGCCTCAGAACATATTTGTAAAACAGATAGCAACCCTTGTATCTATTTAATATGGGATAAATGAGGCCCAAACATCCCAAAGTTCATAAGGAAAGAATAGAATCCTAAAAGCCTGGACCCACAAAGTTCTTTGATCTGAGCACTAGGTAACTATGCCTGTTGTTCGCGCTTTAAAGACAACCAATCAAAGCCCGAATCTCTGTTTTGTTGCCTTTGAAATAAGTGATGTTTTGCAATGAACTTGCATCTGTTGGATGGATGATTACAGCTTCTGGTCTAGTCCTTGGACCCAAAAACCTTAAGGAGAATCTATACCATTTTTCAGGAGGAAAGAAAATCCCTATGGAAATTAGGGAATGATGACAGGACCCAGCTCATTTTGGTATTTGCCAATGTGATGCTGGCTTTATAATATGAATTTAGTGACTAAACAAGACTAATAAATAAAGCTGCTCCAAAGACTGTAAACAGATTTTGCCTATTTTTTCTCATTTTACTTTGAAAAAAAAATTATGAATGAAATTTTTCTGGCCAACTACATAATTACTAATAAATTTGAGGAAACCACAAGCTGTTTATGGAGTTCATACTGGCAGAAAGAGAAGCTAACCTCATCATATAGACTTTTCATGACCAACTGACCTTTCATCTATCCCAAATGCTACTTTCACTGAGAAGGTCTGTAAATCTTGGATGGGAAAAAAAGCCCAAAGTGTTTCCACTGGACATAAGTATAATAGTGCCCTTCAAGTCGCACTTGTGGCAAGGGCATTGGCATACATGATTGTGCTCCAAAAGTATCAGCATGCTCTGTCCCTCCTATAAGCAGAACTTTCCTGCAAACCAATGAATTTTAGAAACAAAATACAAACCAGTTCTTGGTTCCATGTCATCTAGTAAATCAGAAATCCATGAAGATAAGCCATGGTATAGCTAAGCTCATTTAATTTCTCATAGTCAGAAAGAAAGTCTTATGGCCGTAGGTTACCTATCATGTTACTTTCTGCTTCCAGGAGTACTTTTGTTTGGTTAGGGGGTGGGGGTGGGATTGTTGTTGTTGTTGTTCTTGCTGCTGCTGGGGGGGCTGTCCTTAATGAGACAGGCTTGCCAAGCAAGCATTCACAAGTCATTTTCTGCTCTTGCAGAAGAGTAATTAGGTTGGTGCCTTGTTCTATGCCAGCATTAGCCACTCCAAAAAACCAACCCTGCCTGGTCATTGGCACTTATACACAAGCCACAGCATCTCCACTAATTGGTCCTGATGAACTTCTGATGTTCCCAAAGGGGTTCTTTATTTCACGCAGCTCAGGAATGGGATTGACAGAGAACAATATCATCATTTCTGATCAACTGCATTGTGGGACTTTTCTGTTTCCTTTGTTGTTATTATTTATTAGTGAAAGAAAAAAAAGTCGCTCTTGAAAAAAAAAAAATGGACATAATGAAAATGCCGAGCAAAAAATGAATTCTGCCAACCCTCTTTTGAAATCATAGACAAAAGCAGGAGAAAAATATGTTCTGAGAAAGAAACCAGCAGAATTTCTCTCACACGCAATAACTAGCTTCAGGATTTCTATAATCACGTACTCACATCAAAGCTGGCTTTATGGGTCCCCAGCTGAGATGGAAATCGGGAAGGGCCCTATATCCCCTTCTGATTAAAGAGGGAAAGCCAAATTAAGAATGAAACATAATCCCTGCCTCACTATCAGTACAAGCAGAAGGATTTCCCTCCCTCCAAAGCATTTTGTATGTGGAGAGCCAATCCTGCAGTCACTTAATTGCCCTTATACTGGGCATCTCCTTCTGTAGTTCTCTGAAAAGGGGAGAAAGGCTAGTGCTGCTTTAGCACGTAGGTGACAAAATGAAGAGGTAGCTTGTGTATGTTCGTGGGACAAGAGGAACAGAGTGGAATAGAAAGACCTGTTCATAAATTACAAGTTAGAAATGGAACATACTACTAACTTTGTCACGCATTTTCAACACCCCCATGGACAAAACGTCATTTACTCTTTTTTTTTCATTTGCTTTCCATTGGGTTTAGCATAATTCTGTTGGGATCCTTGGCATGCAAACATTTCTTTCATCCTTACATCAGGGATTTTCACTCTTCAGCAGGCTCATCAGGCTGTGTTGGCTCCCTGAAGAAACTAGGTATTTCCAGATAATTAACAAACAATATTAGCTGTTCAAATATGGACACACTGTACTAAGGCCTGGAATCCATTTATTGTTCATACACAGAACGCTTTGAGCTCTTAACCCCTATCCAAGCTGTCTCTTTCATGCCATGAGCCTCATTTACCAGCATCTCATCCAATTCCTAATCATGGATTTTATCCATACTATTGCAGAGCCCTTGATCTTTATTTATTTAAAGGTGTTTGAGTCTGAGGGAGGAAAGGGGAGACGATTTACCAGAAATTAACCTAGACAAACATAAATGGTCAAATCCTCCTCTCCTTACTTACAGTCAAAAACTGCCTGGGCCATTCATGAGGATGCACCTCACTGGGAAGGCATAAGGAGATTTTGCTTCCCATACCTATTCTGCCCATTGGAAGACCAGGCAGAATGTCAGCACCTGGAGTCGCCATGCTCCAAAGACAGACAGGGTGAGCCAAAAGGAGGCAGGGCACAGGGTGTAGCAGCCCTGTAAGTGAAATGTGGCTCTGAACCAACCCTTGTGGACAACACCTACAAGATGAGATTGAGGCATTTATTATTTATTAATTACTATTATCTAGATTAAAGGATATTTGAGGAATAGTTCCCATTAATGTATTTGAAATAAGTTATTTTGAATCTTTGCTGTCCATTTAATTCCTTTTCACCATACTTAGGAAGGTCATTGGAGATGGTGATCTTTTGGGAGCAAGGCCTGTGCACAGGATGAGATCAAGATGAAGTCACTAAGTAACTTCCTGTGGGGTCATGGCTGAAGAAAGTCTTCAGAAGGCAGATGGAGACAGAAGGCAGGAGTAAAGGAGTACAGACTTAGACATTAGTTCATGAAGTTTTTTTGTTTGGGGTTTTTTTGTTTTGGTTTTTTTTATACACATAAAGGCCAAAATGAGAAATTGTGTAAAGATTGCTTGGAAGGTATAGGTTTGCATTTGTAAGTTAAAAGAACAGGATTTGACCCCATGTACAATAATCATAAATGTCCCTACCCTTTCTCTGTCTTGTATATTTAGACTGTACATTCTTTGGGGTCATCATCTTTGTAACAGTGCCTAGTATAACAGATCCCTGATCTGGCCTGGTCCCTAGACACTACAAGCATGATTACTATTAATAACGATTACTAAGTTTTACTATGTTATTTTTTTCCTTCATTAAAGCTTCCTTGGTATTTTTGCTGTTTACAGTTAGTTTCACTTCCTGGTTTCCAGACACAATTTAACTTCCCAACACTATGAGGGAAAGTTTCAATTATATATATATATTTTAAACTGCTTTCATGCTTGTTGCAATCAGGGCTCATAGTAGAGATTACATCTTTTATTAGACCAACAAGATTTTTGCAAAAAGAAAATTCTTTAATTGCAAGCTTTCGGGCACAAACACCCTTTATCAGGCATCGGAGAAAAGATTCTAAAAGTCCTCCTGGGTAGAAAAGAAAGTTCATATTTCATAGGATTTCACAGAGGAGTCAAAAGATGGAATACTCACTCCTCTGGGCAGACAGATTTTTTGTATTTTTTTCCATTATTTCTTGAATTATTGTTTGTATTTGAAAATTTGAGTGAAAACAATTTTACTGATGGTCCCTTTTGTAAAATCAATGTTATTAATATAGGTTTAGGAGACATATTTCTTTTTATTAAACATCACGCAATGCCAACACTTTGGACTTGCAACTATTTAACGATTCCTTTTTACCAGAAAACTTCTCATAAGATCC